ATAATTGTTAATAAAAATCGTAAAAGTTGTTTATTTTTATGTATCATAGCAATTAAGAGGTTAATCTTTACAAATAATACACATAGATTACTGGACGTTCATGATTCATAAAGAATATTTTTACAATTAATTAAGGCTACAATTTTAATTGCTAGTAAGAGATAAATGATCATATTTTTAAAACTCTTCGTTTTTAATACTAGCTGATTTAGCAAACCTTTTTTTGTTGTTTGCAAGATAAATATTAAATACTGTCTATAGTTTACGCGAGTAGTTTACATTTAAATAAAACATTTTATATGCTGCAAAGCATCCGAAACGTCGGGCCGAAGTTAAAAATCATTTTCAAATAAGGTAAACTAATATATCGCGTTTTGACCGTTAAAGTGTTTTATTTAAAAAATATGAATATTATTTATTTAATACAACTCTGACTAATATATAAAGCTGAAGACTTTATTTGTTTGTTTGTTTGAACGCGCTAATCACACGAACTACGGGTTCGTATTGAACAATTATTTTTGAGTTGGTTAAAGCAATTATCGAGAAAGGCTATAAATCATCGCCCTGTGACTAATAAAAGCGGAGATACAGCGAGAGATGTAAAAAAAATTTGGAAAACTATTCATCGTTATCGGTTTCTGAGGCATATGCTGCAAAAACGGTTCAAGATACCCAATTTTTCTTTTAAGGTTAACCTGTAAGAACGATGGGAACGGACGCGACCTACGTCTAATGAAGGAAATTGGATGCCCAAAATAACGCTGACACAGGACACATTTTAGATCGTTAAAAGGGAAACCTTTCTTTAAAAAAATACATTTTGGTGTCTTGCACCGTGCGCTGCAGCATTAGACCAATGAGCTTGGCAAAAAATTCGCCTAGCTGTCCCTGAACGCTGTAGTCGGGAGTTTGACTCCAGCAAATAAAGATAACAAAAAAGGTCACAAACTGATTCGCTATGAACGCAGCCCGGTTTTAGGTTTATCTGAACTGTGTCTTAAAACATGCAAATGTTATCGTCACCTCAATTGACATCCTTATCAGTTGCAACTTTGATACAACAATTCACCAGATATAATTAATATTATCTAGTTGCCGAGCGATTGTCACGTCAAAGAGAATGAAAACATATATTAAATCACAAATAATTGCGTAAAATTGAAAAGGAAATCAGCCGAATCTGGTGGAGTACGACAGAAATTTGGTCCAGGTCACGCAAGGTCTACAATTTTTTTTTTAGTTTGCGCGAGTACTCTAGCTTTAAATAAAACACTTAATGGTTTAAAACGCGAAATGTTTGAAGATTCTCCATACACTGTTATATATATTGCTACGTATTGAATATACATAAAAGTAAGTAAGGAAATAGATTTTTGAATTCTTCTTGAATGCTTCTATTTCTTCTATTCTAAGTCTCGTTTAAGCAACTTCTCATTAATGAGAATTCGTTTAGGCTTAACAGCGGTAGGTCTGCAGCAGAACGCGTATGAGATTAAATTCGAGAATGGTCGCATTGTTAACACAATTAAGTAATTGAAAAGATAGGTCATGGATCATACCGATATTTGTATTTAGATAACGTATCTACGTAAAATACAAACGTAAGAATTTGTTTCTTTTTATTTAAGTTGACACACATTTTTATGACCGAGGGAAAGATGCAAACCTTACATTCAATCCTCAAATTCTCGAAAGGAGTTATATAAGGAGGACCTTTCCTTCTTTATTAAAAGACGCGATAGTTACGGGTGTTTACATTTTCCAAAGTAAGGTTTTCAGATTGTAATCCAGTCTTTTTTATTTATTTAATCATGGACTGGCGACGTTTTAACATTTTACATACATCGTTATTAGGTAAAAAAGTCAATATGTGTAAATTAGTTATAAACACACATCATGTATATTTACATAGACAGAGTGAAGACTGAATGACACCTACTTCTTCAAAATTTCAATTCATGAACTAAACGAAATCGTTATCCCTTTTTCTCGGTTTCGCCGTAGTCAATTTTACTTTTATAGTAGCGTATAGATAAGTTAATAATCTTTCTCTAAGAATCGGCAATACATTTGCGCGAAAGCTTTACGAGCATTTAGTGTCTATAAGGCCGGGGTGCGGTATACACGCTATACGCTGCGTACTGCGTCAAGTACGACGCTGCATCAAGATGTGTCTCCTTTATCCTATTGGTAAGCGTTAAATTTGATGTTTCCAATATACAAATTTTAATATATTTCGAGCATTTGTAATGTTTGTAAATATGATTTTCTTTTGATATTATTTTAGTTTGTTATTATTGTAGTATTGTATCTAGGCAACCATTAATTAATATTTATTTATTATTACGGACCCATAATTGTTACTTGAGTTTAGTAATGCGTGTGAAAGAGACAACAACAGTTCTTAAACAAAGATGTAGCGCGTGACGCAACAGATTAGAAATATGTTAATTCGGAAACAGCGTCATTTACAATTTTACAAATACTGTAAAAAGAGAAACAAATATAATATTAAGTATATAATATACGGACACAATGCAATCATATAGGTGCCTCTTAAAAGAAGACCGCTCAGCTACGTTAGGACTAAGGTCCCAACACTAGGGCCACAGAATATCTTTCGAAATCAAAGGCCGAGCTAACAACAAGAACTGCAGCGTGTATAGCAGACCACAGGCTTAACTCGTTCACGTTTTACGTATCAATCACTTCGCGATACGTATTAGAGTGGATATAGCCTGATAATACATGTCACTAGGTCGTAGGAAAAATACTAGGGTTTTCAGATCGTGTCATCTAATAATGTGTACACATGACGAGTGATGACATTAAAATATACCACTGCTATTTAACGAAGCGTAAATTCTGTTGTTTCCAAGGTTTTTTTATGTAAGTGGTATTGCGCTGTCAAACTATTTTAGGAGAAGATACATAGAATTTTAAATCGTCGCTTACGATGATTATATATAATATTCTTCTAACTTTGCCAGTGACTTCGTCCGCGTGGAATAGTTATTTTGTGCATCAACATTAGTTTTAATTTTGTTTTTGTAATATTTTGCAAACCACCATCACCTATTCTTCGCCTTTCTCTAACTTACATAAAAATAATGGTTCAATTTGAACCAGTAGCTCATGGGATAAGCGCGAACGAACAAACTCTTCAGTTTTACATATTAATATAGATTTCACCTTAATTTCGTTATATACAGAGACTGATAAGAACAAAAAATACATAAATACGTATTGTTAAAATACTTAAGACTTCTTTCTTAATCGATGATTGATCTTTGTTAATACTTCTGTACATTTTTTTCTTACTTGAATTTATAATAACACCTTACACGCAATTGTACAGATACAAAGGCAGTATTGAATGTTAAACTATGTTGTTATAATTAACTTTTGAACTAGAGGGGTTTCGATATTGTTCTATGTTTTGAACAGTATATCATTCTTTTTCGTTCTGTTCAGGCGACGTGAGTGAATTCTTCGAGTAATCGAGGAGCTAACATCTCCCGATGATGCTGTCAGTTCGTGATGTCGAAATGTCGTCTCTTCTCCCTCACATCGCCCGAACAGCCGAAAAGAATGATGTGCTGAACGATGGCCGTGAGAGCCTTAATTTATGTTTTTAACTGTATTCATAAGTGTAACAGTTACCAACATGAATAAGTGATTTTTATTTCATTTTATATGCGGAATGCCTGAAGGCCAGGAATACAAAACATATTCTACAGATATACGAAATGAGAGTTCAGTAACTTAATATTTTTTATCTACTAACTCGTACTTTAAAGTCGATTTGGTAAGAACAAATAAATACTGAAGTTTGTTTATTTAGACAAAACACTTTTAACGGTTTAAATGAGAAATATATTAACCACGGCTGTTGTAAAGCATCGAAAACGTCGGGTCCTAGTTAAAACAAGTAAAACCTAGTTGCTCTAGAAGTCTAGAGCAACAGCACGGAACGCTGACGATCCCGGTTCCAGTCCTGCCCGAGTCGAATATATTTTTCAATTTATTTTAGATTTTTAAATTATATAGTACCTTCACGTGCAACATGTAAAAAAATAAATGTTTTCAAAAGTAAAACCTAAGTAAAAAAAAATAAGTTTAATAGTGAATGAAAATTGTTTTATTTAAATATGTATTACTTGCGTAAACTACACATTACATATAAGTTTAGTTATGTTATTCGTACATTGTCATTGTATGTGTGTATATAAATAACCACACATTTCTTTATGAATTAGGTATTGTAGGGGTGAACTTATTTTAAACTTGACTTATCATTTCACTGTTGAATTTAGTATCTATATTCTATTGCCTTATTCTTGTTTTTTAATCACAGAAATAAGCCTATGCCTAAATTAATTGTCAATACATTAAAATAATCTTACTTTATTTTTGATAAATCTGTAAGTACTTAGTAAATAAAATAAAGGCCGAAGTGATATTAAGTGATCAGATCAATTAATTACAAAGTTCAGAGCAGGTAACACATATCGAAATAGATTGTATTGGAACCATCCTAAAATATCTCGGACCGTCCACATTGCTTTGTGCCTACATCGCATACCAGAATTGGAGTAAAATTTTAGACCAAATTTTGCGATAGTTTCCAATGAGTTATGAATAAATATTTCTTTTACTTAATTTTTTTTTATCTATATATCGGAATATAGATATATTAAAAAACAATTTGTCTAACGATTCATAACATGCAGTGTTCTCCAACATCTATTGGTCTGGCCACTAAATTAATTATATTTATTATTATTTACCTTTCAAAGCTGGACTTATTAATATTCTAGTATATATTTTTATAAATGTTTATTATGGTTAACGTACACTGTATTAGCACGTGTTCATCGCGAATATAAACAGACATAATATCTTATCAGATATGGTTGTATTGCTAGATGCAGATTGATGTAATATAGTGTTTCCAATTTAATAATTCTCTGACACTAAAAGATCTCATCAGATATCTAACCTGGCTGTTGCGGCGGCAGGAGCGGAGGCATCGGCTGCGCTGGCACTTGGGGAAGCGGCGCGTGAGACAGCGGCGACACTCCCGGTGACCCTGGCACCGAACCCACTGAACTACTGGAGCCGATCGACCGCGGCGCCGGAACCACGGGGCTCCGGGGCGCCTTCACTATCGGCGGTTCTGGCCTCTCCAGCTCCACGCCGGGCGGCTGCGACCCGGAATCCAGAGCGCGCGCCCTCGCCTCGTCCTGCGCTTGCGCACGCCGCAACGCCGTCTGGAGCGCCATGACGCGCTGTCTGTCCGCCGTGAGACGGCACTTCTCGCAATTGCAGTAGCGATACTTGCAATACCGTTTGTGGCCTTTGAGCTCGATCTTGAGCCGATGGTTCCGGCACCTGGCGCAGTTCGGTGGGGCACGAGGCACCCCCGAGCTGGAGGTGCCGGGCTCGGAGCGTTCGTCGCATTCGTCGGGCGAACGGCGCCTCCATGCGCCGACGGAGACCATGGTCTCACGGTTTCGTCTCTCGCGACGCGATCTCTGAACGCGCAGACGGCACGCGCAACGCAACGCGCGGTCACGATGCAACTGATTGCCGGCCGCTGGTAACTGGTTGCACTGCCCCGTCCCGCCCCCCGCCTGCTGCTGCATTTATTACCGTGCCGTGCACTTTGCGATTATTTTAGCATCTGTCGGACTCGTTTTAAACTGTGCTATCTATTAGGAAACATAATTACAAATATCTTTGCAAGAATCGAAAATGCATCTAACCAGAATTAAACAATTTCACTAACTAACAACAGTTTAAGTGACTTATTAAACGATGTCCTTTGTCTATTACAAGGTCATTCGAGTCGACTTTGTTTCGCTATAAAAATAAGATTTCCTTTACCTTAAACGGATTACCTTGGACGCAAACAGTTTCATCTTTATTTTAACAGACACAACTATGCATCTTTATGTGTATTCGTGCTTGATGGCGCTCTTTTCACCATGATTTTCTCATCACCAAAAGAAAAGTTTTCCCTTATAACATGTAATATATTAAAGAATAATTCAAATTATGCTATCTTCAACAATTTTTGACGGTTTGTAACATGAAATATATTAGTCAATAGTCAATAGATTTTTAGTCCAGATCTAAAACGACGAACCGAAAAGCATCTCGTCTATTTTGTCTTCAGAAATGTTATACGCTTTATTCTATTCGGTGTGAGAATTGATGTAAGATTGGATTGCCAATTTCTAGCATAGAAATAAAATGTAAAAAAAATTTCCTTCGTTTGCTCGGCCACTGGACCAAAAATATTATTGTAGATACGTCAGCCGAGTCGTTTTTCCAGAGAACTACTATTCAATATCACTTACATATGTTTAGTCAATTTTTGCAGTGTGCCTTTATTACAATAAACATATAGTAAAATGAAAAATATACTTATAAATTTGTGTAACGAAATATATTGTCTTTATTGTTTTTTTTTTATGTTAGACGAGGACAGACAAGTTACTTGGAAAGACAAATATCCCAGCCACACACCATTTATATTAAATGCTATCTATTTTGGTTTTGGATATATTTGGATTATATTTGTGACCGCCATATAAAACACATTATATATGAAAATAACCCGGCCAGTTTCGCCAAATACCAATTTGGACGGAACAGATGGCGCTAGCGTAGTAGTTATTACTTTGACGTCAGAGACGCCCTTTATCATTAGTCTCCCCGTGACCACGGCTGTTGCAAAGCATCCGAACGTCGGGTCGTGGTGACAAGAATTTTCAAATATGTTTAACTAATATATATAAACCGTTAAAGTGTTTTATTAAATGAAAATAATCGCAATTTTTTCGCATAGTTACAGAAATTAAATAGAAAACTGCACGGCAATAAAGGCTTGCTGCGTGTGGCTGCACTTCACCGTCGCGTGTAACAAACACACACGTAAGCCCGTTGATACGATGCCAATCTATGTATGTGTGCAACGTGTACATGTAATCGTAACAGGTTGCGTATGTGTGCATAATCTACCTCATTATGACTGTTTTAATTTCTAAATTCCTAATCCAATTAGGGCATTCAGACGTCCTGAAGGTCAATATTCTTTTTCTCATGGTAGAGGAGGACAGACAACCATATGGTTCTTTGTGGCATTTGGTTGTGGACGGTAGTTAGGTAGGGACGTGACCCGAACGTCTCCTTCATCGTGGGGAAGGCGAAAATCGAAATACTCCAGCCATATCTATTTATTTATTTTCCGCACCGTCGAACCAATTTCGGTCAACACTCTCCTTTGCATCGTATGTGCAAACTATTCAACAATCACTCTTCAGACTTGGATATTTTTTATCACAGCACTTCCGGCCTCTGACAATTACTAAGTCTTAAAGAAGACTCTAAAAGTAGAGCACTAATATAATATTTATTTTTTAGTATCCGTTTTGTTGTTTGGTTACATTTATATTAGATTTAATTATTATTTACTTTGTACGATTAAACTTTATCTGCATGTCGTGTCTACATATTTATAAGCTTAATTTTTAAGATTTTTTACTTGTATAAAGCCATTTATAACATATTATCTATATATTAAAGCTAAGTTTTGTAGACCTTTTAAATAAAAATAAAAAAAAGGCTTACCAACTAAATACATAATAAAAACAAAAACATATAACATCTAATCAAGATCTGGTGTCGACATATTTTGGCTTTGGATATTCGGAAATCACAGACTGAACTGAAACGCGATTAAGCTTCACGACTTTTTCTTCTGTGGACGGTGGATCGTGACGCGGACGGAATTTCTATATTCTTACCAACCATTTAATATCCAGATTTCGAACCCACGACCCGTTGTTTATTAGCCATGAATTGCGAATCACTTTTCTGAAAAAAATATAAATTCATTAGAAAAATATTGGACCCGATGGGGATCGGACATACGACCCGTTGATTATAATCACGAGCCGCGGAAACAGGTTGTAAATTTTTTATTTTTTGGCGCAGAAACTTCCAGAATTAGGATTCGCTTGATTTACATAAAAATGCTCAGTTCTATTTTTTAGAGTTTTGCATTAAAGAAGTGATGATATAGAATCTTCTTAATGACTTATTATGATGACTAAGCTAGATTTCAATTTTTTCTTAGCTTCACCCAGTCGCCGACTTAAATGGTCCTAAGTTTGAATCAGTACAACTACATACATCATCAATACAACTTACAATTACAACTTTGAGTCTTTCTGCGACCAAGGGTACTGCAAAACATCCAAAACGTCGTTCCATAGTTAATAATAAGATAACTAATATATGTCGCGTTTTCAACCGTTAAAGATGTTTTATTTCAAAAAATCTGTTATAACATAACGATGTTCTATATCAGTAAATTAATATTTAATTTACGTAAGGCATGAGACAGACTAATTTTTATGTCTGTTCCGTTGCTCGATATTGTTTACAGACAAGTGGTTTATCAGACTACTGTTCTGACCGAAACGATTTCTTTTGTTTCCCCATGTTTCCGGCCTGGGAAGAAATAAAATCCGTTAAAATATAAGCCACAGAAAAACAAATAAGACTTATTACTAAACATATAATTTAAGGCTCGCATATTAAACAAAAAAGAAAAAAAATAACATAATTTAATCTTAACAGTATAAAAATATTACTACTAAGCTATTAATACTCACTGAAAATAGTTTCCTTTGTTGACCTGAAACTGATTTTCAATGTGAGAGTGTGGACAGCGATGCCCATACGCGATTTAAAAAAAAAGAAAAATTATCTAACCCTTATAGTAAGGGGTGTAACGTCTACTTGTAACATTTAAATTCTATGACTCAGAAGGCATAAGAAGAAACAGAATCTACTGTTTCCGAAATCCCCCCTCATGGGACATAATTTTTTTATAACTTCCTGTGTCGCAGCTATAAATCAATTGTATAGTTACAATACGCTTATGAGATTTTGACTCGTTAAAAAGTAATATATTGTTCATTTTAAATCCGTTTCGAATCGTACAAAGAGGTTCATTCAAAAATCTAATTGGATAAGCTTATACGTTGAAGTGCCACGGTATTTTCAAAGGGAATGTACTTATTTTAATGTCACTATTTTAAGTGACTACTGTTAGGACGCAATACCCTTGTGTACGATATCGCATTAAATTTGTAATGTAGAAATCAATAATATAATAAATCAATAATATTTAAATAAAACACTTTTAACTATAGTAGCTAGCATTTGTGGTGGGATGGGGGTCAGGGGGGGGGGGGGGTTACAGCATAAAAGCATTCGAAAGATATTTAAAATGAACTTTTAACAAGTTAACTAATATATTTCGCATTTTAAACCGTTCAAATTGTTTTATTTAAATGTGGGAAAATCCTTTCTGATACCCACCGCCAGACAACTAGCGTAAACGAACAATGATTAATATCCACTAACCAGGGTTTAATATTTAACTGCTTGTTAAATATTACTGAAAACGTAAGTCCAACGTAATTTCATCTACGTTTAACGTTTAATCAATCGTAAATCAGTGCATATTATCACGCGATAAAATTGTTAATTTATGAAAGAGTTAACTGCTTTAACAATGTATTAAATATATTTTCTATTACTTTCTAGCAATAACATTAAACGGGTGATCGTTATTTCAATAAAACATTCACTAATAACTTGTATTAACAGCTATGAAATTTAATATCTAGTACTACAGGGTACTATCATGTACCTACATGGTACATTTAATATACTAAGTTGCTTAACATAAGCACAAGAGTTCCTGGTTTAAAGGTAAAACAGTAATAAAGAAAACCATCCGAACATCGGGTCGTAGTTCAATTAAATTAAAATAACAGTATTTAACCGTTTAAGTGTCTTATTTGAAGTAATACATTTTTTACTCTTTCTACGTTCCTATTGGTCGTAGTGGATGTCGCTCGTCCATCTTGTACTGGACGTAGCGAGCAACTTAATAAAATAGAGAGTGTGGGTGGCTCTCTTGTAGCCTCCGCTCGCCAAGAAACGTGCCGGGTGTCTCTAGGAGGCCCCTAGCGTGAGTCTGGATCCGCCATAATATCATCTAAAGCTCCATAAATCAACCAAGACAAAAATATTTTTTAAATTTGAACCAATAGTTCCAAAGATTAGCGCGTTCAAACAAACAAACAAACTCTTAACTTTATTATATTAGTATAGATTTATTTTAACTACGACCACGGTCGTTGCGTCATTGGCCTATAGTTAAATGGGTCGATGTTTCGTATGACTAAGTTAAAAATAGGATTATAAATATATTTCGCGTTTTAAACCGTTAAAAAGAGTTTTATTTAAATGTATACTACTCGCGTAAACTACAGACAATATACTTCCTTGAACTTATCCTATAAAATAAATAATCACAAGTGGCGATTTGTTTTCCGTGACTTAAAGGCTTTGTATAATTCGTTTAAGAAAGTAAAAAAGGTATCCTGTGTTACAGGAAGAATAGGCTTTTAACAGATATCCAGCGTGCCTGGGTCCTTGCTAAAATGTGCTTTCATAAAGTTGGGAGGTCTTTATTACTGGACTTTTAATTTGAGGGGGCTGCTTTAGTTTAAAGCTATTGAGTGAGGAATATGACAACCGGTTCAGCTTATTTATGGTGTTCCTATTATGCGCGGTTGACTAGATGAGACGCGTCTCAAGCGGTAAGGGTTGTCACAACTGCATTTTAATAAAAATAATAATTCATAATCAGTAAGAAGGTAAGAATAACTGTAGTATTTTAGCTATGATTTAGCACTCACAATTTTTTTTTGCTAATTATAAATTTATTAATTGTAGATCTTAGTTGACTCAGATGAAGTTTTGATATTCCTACCACCCATTAAATTTAATTAAAATATAATATATGTGATATGTTTAGAAATTGAATCAAGAACTCATACTGTTGAAGAAAATCCACCTTTTAATTACTATTGTTAGCCGTCACTTCACATAGACAAGAAATCCACTGAGTGCATATGCAGAATATAAACCGTACCACAAATGAAATACATATTGGTTTCATATAAAAAATATTGTATTTTTTCTTTTCTTTGTCTATATAATAATCTCTAAAGAGTTATAGCTGTATTATTATCTGGCAATTATAATAGATACATATTATTAAAAATAATAATAATAAAAAAATATCCGAAATTTAAGTAATATAATACACTTATATGTAAGCAAATAATACGCATTTTTATGACAGTCGGAGGAGGAGAAGACAGAGGAGGAACGCCAAGACTGGTGTCTTACTTACTTGGTGTTCATTAAATGGCGAAATTCCCCAACCTTACAACATCTAAACAATATACGGTGTCAAAACCAATGTACGTTTTGTGTGGACTGTCGTTCGGGAGCCGAATGGAATTCCGATGTCCTACCTATTTAATATCCAGATATTCCAGGTGAACAGAAAACTTCTCCAGAGATAAGTTGGATTTGGTGGGAGACGAAATCGCGACCCAAATAATTATTAGCCATACATTGCTATCCTATCATCAACAAGTCTGTCGAGTTTGGATAGATCGGTCTTCATTTGACAAAGTATAAATATATCGTCAGTTACTTAATTTAATTAGTATTTTTCTACTGTCTGTAGTTTACGCGAGGAGTACACATTTAAAACACTTTAACGGTTTAGAACGCGATATATTTTAGTGAAACCTTTTTGAGAATTATTTTTAAATACGGCCCGACGTTTCCGATGCTTTGCAGCCATGGTCACGGGGAGCTCAAGTCTTCTCGTGAATAGTATTTCTCTACAAAAATAACACGATTTTATTATAAAAGTACCTAGGTTCAATAAGTGTTGAGTAGATAACCTTTTTTAATTAGAAGTGGTTAAGTGTTCGTGCAAATTGATCGTGTGACAATAATTTAAATGTATTCTATCACGCAAAATCTATTAGGGTTCCGTGCAATATTTTTTGATTTATTAACGATAACTGCGATAATTATCGCCAATAGAAAAAATACTTTGAACCATTAATATATAAAAACAAATAACGACGAAACAGATGACACTAGCGTAGCAGATTCAAACGCCCACCATCTTTAGTTCTAGTGAGTTTGCTGTAAAGCATTCGAAACGTCGGGTCGTAGTTGAAATCCATATTATTATTATGCGTTTTAATCAGTTAATTCAATTAAATATGTACTCGGTAAACTACAGACAAGGCGTCAATAATATTAAAAAGATATTTTATGTACGGAACTCTAGTTGATTTTAATTCATGTTCAGCTTTAATATGACTTATAAACATTATTTTAATGTCCTGTAACTTTTAAACTTGTTAGTAGTTTGTTGTGCCTCTGTCTGTCAATACGATATTTTGGTAAATATATTAACGTTGGTTTTAGTAAAGATGACTTTTTTGTATCTCGAAATCGATCCGAACACGAAAAGCACGTTTAACCGTTGGTACCACTCATATAGTTAACGCTAAAGGCCGTAGATCTACGTTGGAACGGCTTGGTGGGCTGACATCTTAAAAACTCATTCTTAATTTATCTTTATGCAACTAAACTGCGTTAAATGCGCGTTGTACTAAGTCAGAATATTGACGAAACGTGATAAGTTTTTCGGTCGTCTAAGACACAAGTAAATCGAAATAGATATTTTTAGAGAAAAATAACCTTTTTACCCTTTTAGATAAGAGGAATATATCAATTATGAAGCCTAAACCCAAAGAGGTATGGTGGATTAGATATAGGAGACGTCAAAAGAGAAGAAGTGTCAGCTTTGAAATGGTATTCAGGCGAGCTTTTGCAGAAACTTTTAGGGAGTATGTCGACAACTGCTCTATCGCTGGTGTTAAGCAAATGTGGGATCCGAAGATTGGAACTTTACAAAGGTATCGTATTGTTTAGAACAATTTCATCTTTATATTTCTTAAATTTCTGCAAATTAACTGTTCTCTTCTACATCAAAAATTTGGCCACCACTGAAAATCTGTGTTATGTCTGCTTATAGCAAAAGCTGAGAATTATTCCTTCGTTTTTTTTGGACTCACGTTTCTTTTGTTATCTCTATCAGTTATTGCAATTTTATTTATGGTTTAATTAAAATAAAGCATATATTTACCTTTTAAACAAAATACGCAATGGTTTAAAAGGCGAACAAATACTGCTATAGTTTACGCGAGTAGTACACATTTCAATAAAACACTTTAACGGTTTAAAACGCGATATATTAGTTAAACTTATTTAAAAATGGTTTTTAACTTCGGCTTGAAGTTTCGGATGCTTTGCAGCAGCCGTGGTCACGGGGAGACTACCTATATTATTATGTTGTTATAGACTTACGTGGGTAGTAATTTTCTGCATAATGTTGACATCAATGGTGTACTACCTCCATAATATTTGGTATGAGAGCCTCGGCAAACCCCTGATAGTCACTATGGAGTCATCCACCTATCCAATATCGAAGATAGACTTCCCAGCTGTAGCTCTATGCAACATCAACAGGATAAGCAAGAAGGCGCTGATCAACTTCAGTAAGGGAGTGTAAGTCGTACCAGGCTATTATTGCTCCACTACTGGGCTAAGGGGCTCATCATAAGGGGGGGCGCCGGGGAGAGGGGGTTAAGGAGCTCAGCCCAACTACTATACTCTACTATACTCGCTACTCCAGTAGCCGATTGCTCGGTTTTAATGACTACCTACAACCACAAAATTAGTTGATCGCATTATAATAAAAATCTACTGAGATTCACATCCACAGCGTTCCGTGTTAGAGTAACACGGAACGGTCTAACCGAATGATTTTTTAAATAGATATTAATGATTAAATTGGGTCTGTACAATTTTGTTTTACTAGCTGTTATGAAATTATTATTAGTGTTTTTGGATAAAACCTAATATAAAAGACATATATAGACAGACGTAAAACAGTTAAGACGGTAGATATTTAGAACAAAATAAAAAATAAAATCAATCAAAAATAAAATAAAAAATATTTTTCTATTATTTAACTTTATCTAAAAATACTATTAAATGTTTCCAATATCAGTAATTCCCCCAAATTTGTGACTGACAATACTGTACTGTTCCAGACATTCATTTGCGAAGCACAACGAATCTCTCGCGGAGGTATACGAGTTCTGTTCCCAGTTGGGGAGATTGATAGACTACACATACAACGCATCCCTGAGGAATCACCCCCTAATGGCATCATTTAATGCGTACATGAACAGCTCACGACAGATTATAAACGTGATGAAGATGGTAAGATAACATGGTCAGGCGTTCGATTCACATGACAAACACGTTAGACCCGATGTGGATCTTCTTTATCTTATTCTTTATTTAAGAAGAGAAGAAAGGAAAATCATGAAGTTAACAATTACTTAATAACATCTCATACTATGATTAACCCCGGATATAGTTAGAGGAGGTCAATCGGCCCGGGACTCTACAAAAGAGGGTCCCCAGTCTGTTGTTCTTCATCATTCTACAGAATAGAGTTTTTTTTTAATACGAATAGAACACGCTTATATTTACTTAATTGATCAATACTATTTTGAGTTTACTAACTACACGAGTTATTTATGTCGCATATACTACCTACTTTTAGCTAGCACCGTCCTGCGATGAACAGCTCCTGATGTGTTATTGGGCTGGTAAGCTGGTCGACTGCAAGACTGCCTTCTCCGTCAGGAGAACTCCTCACGGGCACTGCTGTGTCTTTAACTACATCCTGGCATATGATTCTGCTGATAAGTTCGTACCATGTCTGTAGTTTACGCGAGTAGTACACATTTGAATTGCTCTTTTAACGGTTTTAAACGCATAATGTATTAGTGGAACTTATCTACAAATTATTTTAACTTTGTCAAGTTATAAGCCGTCTGTAGTTTACGCGAGTAGTACACATTTAACTAAAACGCTTTTAACGGTTCAAAACGCAAAATGTATAATGAGTGAAACTTATTTACAAATTATTCTTATTACAAACTATGTCAAGTTTGTAATAAGAATAATTTGTTTGTCAAGTTTAAGTTTGTAATTTGTATTACTGTATGTAGTGTCCGCGAGTAGAACGCATTTAAATAAAACACTTTTAACGGTTTAAAACACGATTTTTTTCAATTAGTTGTCCTTTTTTTTAAAGTATATATATTTAACTTAGGTTTTTTTAAGAGCGTGATAAAGAAGCATTATATATACTTTTAAAATACATCTCACAACACAACTATCGTTTCGTTATTGCTAAAAATAATTTCAGGCAACACGAGTTGTCTACACTAAAGATAGATAGGTGTCGCAGTGCTTTAGGTATCCGGGTTCTGGACGAAAAGAAAACAATGCATTGACTCCAGTCAATAAGTAAAGCCTTTTAGACAAATGGGTGGTAGGAATATCAAAATTTCGTCCGTGGAACAAACTATCGTCCACAGATGAGAAAGCCGTCAGCTTCATTCTGTGGATCTCCGTGGTAAACACTCTGTTGTATAAATGCCACAGAGGCCCATCGTGTTTACTAACTAGTTCCATGATAATAATTCTTGTAGACCGGATCAGACTTTGGACAACGCGAAAAAACAATCTCAGGCTGGATTGTATAATGGACTGGCGCTAGTCGTTAATCCCATGGTTGAGGATTACCACTACCGAATCTACAACATGATGGGGTTTGAGGTATGAACATGTCACAGTCTTGATTGAATAAAAGAAAATGTATACTGTATGTAGTTTACACGAGTAATGTTTTTAATTTCACTTTTAACGGTTTAAAATGCAAAAATGCATTAGTTTATTTGAAAATCCAAAATAAGATTCAAGTCGTGCCCGAGTCGAAATTTTTTAAATTATACATTGATTTATATTACAATAGATTTTTAAATTATACATATGTATATAGTGCCTTCATGTGCAAAAAATAATAAAGTGTTCAAATGTATTAGGTAAACTTACAAATTGTTTTAACTACGGCCCGACGCTTCGGATGCTTTGCAGCGGCTGTGGTCAGGGAAGACGAGAGACAGAGGGCGTTCCTAATGTCACGAAATGAAGAATAATGTGTTAACTTAAACTTCTAAGTTAAAGAGAAAGCAAATCTTGGGGTTTTCTTTGACTGCAATTGGGATCTACTGGAGCTGGAGACGTCAAGAACCATTCCTGAACATAGCGTTAAAATCTAAGTAGCTTTTGTAAAGCTGCATAAGCTTTATAGAATTTATAATAATCACTTTCCTTATATTAAACTAATTTAAAAAAATGCTCTTTTTTAAATAAATAATAGTTTATATCTTTGCCAGATATTATTATTCGACCCTACCCACTTTCCCGACCCAAGTGGTGGAAGAGTGATCCAGCGTAGTGCCCAGCCCGACCAAGTCGTGATGATCAAAGTGACATCCACGAAGCAAATAGCAACTACGGAAGTTCGCAAGTACCCACAAACTACGGTAAATTATGATTTCAATAAATAAGACATTTAATAAAATCAAGTAAAAACCTGTTTATATTACATTTAGAGCCATGGGGCAAACATATTTCTATGTCCGTTTTACTGATTGTTTTTTTTTTAAGTCGTTTATCAAACTTCAATGCCCTGCTCAACTGTAACAAACTGTTCTTCCAGGATTCGAAACCAGGCCCGGTTCGAAACAGTCTCGCGCTTAACGCTGACGTGGCAGCATGTTTAACCATTATTCTACAGAAACGGTCACATTTAATTAAGTACTCCTTAAAATTAAGCTATTAATGCGCGCGACTTTGTCGTTCGTTAGAGTCGTTAGACGCGTGAATGAAAAATGTAACGGTTTAAAACGCGACATATATCAGTTACATTATTTTTATTTTTGTAATTACAGCTTGACATTTCGAAGGCATTGCAGAAACCATGGTCACGGGAGGCTTAAGATGGAGGGTGTCTAATGTCAGAGTCTCACAAATGTTCAGTTCACGACTGTCCCGTGGTTACACAATTTAACTTTAACGACCTGACGTTTTCGTGGTTTACATTAACTAATACGAAACCTGTTTAAAACCGTTATTTTTTGTTTCTAGAGGAAATGTCTGTTCCACGACGAAAGACAAAAGAAGTTCAGCAACATGTATTCCTACAGCGCTTGCATCGTCAGTTGTCGAATACGAACTATCCAATCGTTATGTAAATGCACTCCGTTTTATTTGCCCGTGCTACTGAAACAAAAGCGTGTCTGCAGCTATGACGACCTGAAGTGTTTAAATAAGTATAAAGGTAATTTGAAATAATTAATTGTTACTAGCTCTATACTATGTCCACTATTGACGCACAGGCTGTTTTTGTTGGCATATTGCTTTTGAAAGATTGGAAAAGTATACTGTATTTTTTCTAACTTGGCAAAAACCACAACAAATATGGCCGATTTCAAACCATAGAGAACTAGTGAAGCCTTTTTATAGAGTGTACTGTGTCGTTGCCGTTGCCGTCAGTTAATTACCGAATATCCAAAGCTGGCTGGAGTTTTTTCTCCTTCCATCATCGACATAAAAAAAGCTGTAGGATTCGAACCCACGACAACTAGAGTACCGTATACAAATTATTTTATATATATTATAAGTTTTTGCAAATTAGAAGTATCAGCCTTAATTTATTATTACAGAAAAATTCTTCTACTTATATCCAATGGGGTCGACGGACGTCAGTGGTTTGGAGATTGAGTTGGTGGATTCCCTCTTATGCCCTGATTGTCTACCGGATTGTGAACACACACAACATTTCACCGAACATTTGAAACTACCATTGACAAAACAACAACACAAAAGGAAACATCTTCCTGCCTATTTCTTGTAAATATGTTAAATTGATTTGTTAAGATATGTACAATATTTCAATTTGTTACTAGTCTATACTTATTGTAGAGTACCAGATACCGTAAATAAGAATTTCATCAAAATCGGTTAAGTCTTTGAAACGCATTAAGTTATCTGCGAGCTTTAAAAAAAACTTTGCATTACAATTTGTTTTTTATTGATTTTTACAAACAACTATTTTTATTATATAATATTTTTCTTACGTTTTCAGTAACATGAATCTTACAGGCATGTGTTTGATTTCTATTTACCAGTCTACCAATTATGGTATTTTGAATCGTCTTGATGTGGTCTCTTACTGGTTCGAGGTTGTAAGTAAGTACATATTATACGGGTATTAAGTCTACAGTCATTATTATCTTATGAAATTTAAATCATGTAATAGTAAGCTACATAATATTTTACTCCCTAAAGTTAACGTTTAGGTAATGTGTTTAAAAATATACAATAATTACAGAAGTACTACTTAGGTAGTTTAGTCTAGCAACCGTGGTTGGTACTTTTAATTAACAAAATTAATTACGAAACATATTTTTCAGGCAATATTGGTGGCTTTTACGGAATACTTGTTGGATTTTCTATTATTATAGTACCTGAGATTATTTATTTCTTTGTTTTTAGATTTTTTATTCGCCTCTACAAGTGTTATATTCAGTCTGCTTAAAAATGATCTTTGAATCAATGCCATTTTGTTTGAACAATAAAGATAACGTTTTTAAAACCTTTAAGTGTTTTTTTTAAATTATGAAACAATAATACGTATTTTCCAATACTTTATCTGTTGAAAGGACAATTAGTATTTATTTCAGTCCAAGAAACATAGCTTAAACAATAAAAATAACTTCACAAGAAGTAGTGTCTCTACCACTACAAATTTTTGCGTAAGACGCTTGTGCCAAAGTATTTTGCACATTACAAATGATTATGTATCATGATACAAAAGGCATTTATTATCTATGACGTTAACCATAGACCATAGATAAGCTATTGAGCTTATCTGTGGTCCATTTGGTAAATATTTCCATTTTCAAGAATGCGCGTCATTCATCTGTCAAACAGGCGGTGGCAAAATTGGACAAAGATTTGCAGTCGCAATTTGTTTTTACAAAAGATTAATAATATGTCCTCGAATTCATCTCCCGGAAAAAGCAATGGTGAGTTTTTGCTGCATCTGCTGGAAAGGTTGATAAAGCATGATTACCATTTTCTATCTCCGATTTTAGCTGAAGAGCATAGCGATGCAACTAGCCCGCCAAATCCAAGTGAGAATTTGGCTTCTAGAATTCGTGATTTAGATGTGGACTCTATTCGACGGTATTTCGCTCAAAAGTTCGGTTTTTATGAACTCAGTGAAACGCCGAGTACCATTGAAAAAGTCTTGGACGAGGTAAATTTGGATGGAATTGTAAAATGGATAAAGAGCGCGCGGTGCCAGAATGTTATTACATTATCTGGTGCGGGGATTTCAACATGTAAGTATTGGCTACTAAATATAATAAACTTCGAAATATAATAAACTGTAGTATACACCTTATACTTTACGATTAGTGTTAAATGCAAATATGCTATATAATATGTGATTTTAATGTTTTCAGCGGCAGGAATTCCAGATTTCAGAAGCCCTGAAACTGGCTTATACCACAATTTACAAAAGTATAACCTTCCAGAACCACAAGCAATTTTTGAAATCAACTTCTTCCGCCAGAATCCAAAACCGTTCTTTACACTAGCTAAGGAATTGTTTCCTGGAAACTTTAAACCCACTATTTCACATTACTTTATCAGACTTTTACATGAGAAAGGTAATTTTAATTCATTCTTATTCTCATATTATTATAAGTAACATTATAAGTAACATACTTTGGCTATTTATCTTCAGATATTTTTATATTAAGTTTTATAGTGAAATCTCATTACAAGGGAAAAACTGAACTATTTTTATGTTTAATGCAAAATGACATTAAAAAGTAACAAATATATTTTACTTGTAATGTGTAGCTTTAGTCTACCAAGTAATGTGTACCTTTTATTAAATTACTGATTTAAAATTGCAAATCGTAGTTTTATATCAAAATTTTAAAGAATATATTACCTAAATTAGTTCTGTTTCAATCAACAGGAGTAATAGAATTATAAATTAATTTACAAATTCAAATGAAAGTATTGATGGACATATATTACACTGTGTAATAATTCAATTATTTGTCACTTGAAAGGTCTCCTGTTGCGACACTATACCCAAAATATAGATACCCTGGAAAGGGGAGCTGGAGTACCCCACGAAAAACTTGTTGAGGCACATGGAACATTTTTCACATCACATTGCTTGGAGTGCCGGAAGCAATATACGTTGGAGTTTATTAAAGGTAAAAGAGGCTATACTAAGATTACTACAAATATTTAAAAGGTATATTTGATTAAAGTAACAATTCAAGTATTAAAATTACTTTTAGAACTTATTGTAATATAGATTTAATTTGATTAAAAGAATTCTTAAAAAGTTAATTGCAAGATTATTATTATAAAATATATATTACATACTGTCTATTGAAACAAAACACTGTCACATTGAAATAAAACACTTTAACGGTTTAAACGCGATATATTAATATCGAATTATTAATTAAACTTATTTGAAAATGATTTTTAACTTCGGCCCGACGTTTCAGATGCTTTGCGGGGAGACCCCGTTTAACTAATATATCGCGTTTTAAACCGTTAAAGTGGTTTATTTAAACATATATATTCCTTAATAATTCTTTCAATTAATACTAATATTTTCATTGTGACCTTGTATGTTCTTTACCCTCCAACTAAGCAACTGAAGAACTTATGGATGTATAAATAGAGACCGGAGGACGGTAGTCCGTAGTAGTAGAATATTATTTTAAAGAATATAATTAAGCAAAAGCCTATTGAAACAAAACTAATTTTCAGAACATATATTTGCTGATGAAATCCCAATATGTTCTGAATGCCCCGGAGTTGTTAAACCAGATATTGTGTTCTTTGGAGAAAGTCTACCATCAAGATTCACCGAGTGCTTGCAGGAAGACTTCCAAAAGTGTGATATGCTTATCATTATGGGATCCTCACTGGAAGTACAGCCATTTGCTTCCCTCATTGATATGTAAGTGTACCTTATATTAAAGGTTAGATTATAATCTGCTACACAAGATACTAAAGACCAAACTGTAATTTACTGCTGTCAATTTAACTTCCCAGTTTTTGTTTAGTTAAAGATTTGTGGTTACTTCATTCACCACATCAAATGGATAAGACATTCTAAGAAATAAACAAAGATATATGAAACAAAAAAAAGTTTTTAATAAAAACTAAATCTTACTATAAAAGTGGAGGTTGCAACTAGGTGAAATTAGAAATTTCGAGTAAAAAAGAAATGAAGAGAAAAAATTAAGGAAAGTTAAGAGTTCTAAGGAACTTTAAACAAGCAGAATGAAACATTTGATGGATGCTATTTACTTGTTCATAGTTACATCAACAGATATCAAAACACAACACTTAGTCAGATCAAGTATACAGAGTTCTTACTATTGTGCTATAATGTTAACATATATGTATATAATGCTTTCACATATATTAATTAAAAATAACTTTACTTAAGTTTTTTCAGTTGCATATATTTGTTGCTTTACTTGTTTCTTAGTTCTTATTTCATTTCTAATTTATAGGGTACCAGAATGGTGTCCCAGACTCCTTATAAACCGAGAGAAGGCAGGAATGAGGTCTCCCATACTCCGTCTCTGGGGCCTAATGAGTGGCGGACTGCAGCTCGATGAAGGTGCAGTTCGAGATGTAGCCAGGCTTGGGGATTGTGACGATGGGTGCCAAGACCTTGCTGATAGGCTTGGATGGGGAGTAAGTAATGTTTATTGGAGTATATTAATCTCTTTTTTTATTTGAATGGTACTCTTTAGGCTATATAACATTTGCTATCAATAAGGGCGATCTTTGATGGCTTTCGTTGGGCGAACCTAAAGATTTCTCTTTATAGGATCTAAAAAATTCTACGCCAATATTTCTACCTATTAAGATCAACCCGCAAGAACGACGGCACGTAGGCGATGTCGTGGGCAACAGCTAGTACACGCTCTCAAAGTTATTAAATGATAAAAGTTCATTATATTCTCTCTTCATAGATCAGTAAACTTTATTTCTAACGTTTGGGCTTAAAAGAAATTGCATTTCGTGTTTAATATATATATAGTTATTTTTTTAAATATACTTTTTCAGGATGAACTCCGCGCTTTGGTTGCACGCGAACACGAAAGGCTAGAATGCGAGAACGCACTCAGCAATCCGCACGCCCCACTTGTGGGACCATCGATTTCAGGCCCACCTGTAATACCAATTGTGACCCCAGATTCACCTGAGGGACTCATACCAACGGTGGGACCGAATCCCACTGTGGGACCGAGCTCATTAACACCCGAGCCTAAACTATGAACATCTTAATGAAAATATAATTGCATATATTATAAGGGCAAATAAATTCACCTGTATATAGCTTATTTATTGAAAGATAATAAACAGAAATAATATAGTTATGTGTAAAAGAGATAATTAAATGTTTTGCCTCCTTTTGTCACGTTTGAAACTGCATATGTCTGATAGGGACAAAACATGGATTATTACTTATTCATACCACTTTGGGTGTTAATGTATAACAGCTTTATACGGCTTAGTGGGGATTTATAGAAGTGTAAAAATGGGTAAGATGCTTAAAATGTTTGTTAAGTGAAAATTGGAAATAAATCATATTTAACGGTTGGAAATGCGGAATGCGTTAACATATTATTGCCTACGATCCGACGTTTCGGATGCTTTGCAGCAGTAGGGTTTACTGGCGTCCCTAATGGCGAAGCTGAAACTGCTATGCTAGCGCCATCAATTTGTGATAAGTAAAACCTTTCCTTGTATCAATGCTGTGGTAGATATAGTACAGTTCCTTATAAATACAAATATTGGACGCTTAGGATCCTTTCCATCAATCATTTTTAATCATTAGTTAAATAGTTAGTAATTAATCTTATTATCATGGGAAGGAACTCATTAATTGAAAGAAATTGTTCATTGTTGATTGGTGTTTTGTAACATTTTTGTTAAAATTTCAAATTGTGTATTTTTCTACTTATATCTTGGGAACCATCTTAATATTAGATTTGTTAAGTGACATTTGACATTTTAAGAGATCTACGATTTCCTTTTTAAAAGGAAATATTACGTGAAGGATTATGTAGATGTATTTATAAAGTCGATTGTACTTAAATACAATAATGCGTAGATATTTTTATTTCAGCTACATGACATTACACATTAATCAGTGAAATATTGTTAAATTAAATTTAACTATTATTAAAATAAAATGTATTTTTTTGTAAGTAACCGCTGTCTCTTTCCTTCTAGTTGTATGTGGCGAGTGTGAAAGAGACGGAACGATTCGTTATAACTTGCCGATTTGCGGACTTACTGCATACTAGCAGATACTTTTGAGAGGATTGTTGATCCAATGATACTAATGTAAGGCTCATGAGTCGGCTGTCGGTTCGATTCGCACCGGGTCTAGGTAAAACTGCGTTTGGCTTCAGTTTATGGGTTTTCGCATGTCAAAAGCCAAGTCTACATCTTTACTTTATTATACGGCACATATTTGCCCTCCTCTGTCATAAATAAACAGCAATAACGGGAATTGGAGGTACTTATGTATTAACGTCACGGCGGAAAAAAATTAATGCTTAGCAAGTGTGAACAACTTAAACCTAATTTATTGACGACGACAGCAATTTCTAACTGGCATTAATACGTAAGTACCGAATCTGATAAACACAGACGCTTACTATTGCATGAGGTAATCAGCGCCGGCCAACGAAAACCTTTTTTCCCTTTATATTATTAATTTTTATGAAATTTAATGTCTTCGTATTAAAAATTATCAATGAATTGTCATATCATTAATAATCCATAATTAATAAAATAAAAGTAGGTAGGACGGTTGACACAACCTGAAACGGGAGACAAATATTCTAGAGTCAATATATTTAATGGAAACACAGCAGCGCCTCTCTCAATCTTTGCTCTATGAATTATTATGAGTTATAAGGACAAGATAAAAGAATTGCTTAGATAAGCCTATAAATAACATATTCTATCCTTACTGATATTATAAATGCGAAAGTAACTCTGCCTGTCTATTACTCTTTCACACCAATACTACTGAACTGATTTGAATGAAATTTGGCACACAGATGGCCTAGACCCTGAGAAAGAACATAGGCTACTTTTTATTGCGAAAAAGGGGTTAAAACGGGGGGCTAAGTTTGTATGGAAATTGTGGTGTTTGAAGCTAGAACAATGAAACATTGTTCTTTGGCTTTTTGGGAATAGGAGTGGGAGTGAGTTAGAGTAGGAGTGATGTGAGGTGAGAGTGTTGCGGCAAAGTAGCACTTATAACATAGATCGGCTGCGATAAATGCGCAATTACCTAAATTAATAAACAGCCTAAATAATTCAAAAGTCACTATTCCACGCGATCGAAGTCGCAGGCACAGCTAGTACTTCCATAAAAACAATTCATAAGTCTTAACATTTTTTTAACTCTAATAATACTAGGCCCTAAAGTTGGTTACTTACTGGCAAATAAAAGCTATTGACGTTTGTATCCTAAATAATAACCAAACCTCTGCAAGGAGGATCATTAACTTTAAATGGTGTGAAATGGTTCAATAGTCAGCTGATGGTGTGGATTGATTCTATAGATGTCCCCGATAGAAAATGATATTAATAATCGTAAATAAATATTTAGCTGAGACAGCTAGCTTAATGACATAACTGGATCATCTCGTAGATTATAATAAAACTAGAGTAAAAGCCTTATATTTTTTTTTATATACAAACCTTAACTTAACATGAGATGCATTTTCACTCATTACAATTACATTTTTAATCAATTGATATGTTATTTTAAATTTGTAACTGCACGTGTGAAAAAAAAATCTAGTATTACCCGTGTTTACATTTAAATAAAATACGTAAGGAAATTTTAAAAGACCACTTACTCTATATCCGAAAAACTTGTAACATCAAAAATGGGGGATTAAAACCAAGGTTACGTAATGTTTGACAGCCTAAATTAAATATAGATCTTTTTAAACGACTTAAAAATGGAAGTTTTCGATTCGTATATTAGTTAATTTGTCGTTGATGTTTTATTTTGTTGAAAAGTACATATTTCTATATCCCCTCCCATTAAAAGGATTGTATTTAATTTAAAAATTATACTAAAAAACCATTTATCAAATCATTTCTATTTAACTAAATCTTAATATTTTGGACACAGTAAAGTTTTTTTAATAATTGTTTCATGTTGGTTATGTTTATTAAAAGAGTATTATGAAGTCGAATCAACGTTATTCTAAGATATCTATAGGCCATTAGAACTAGCAATATTTTTTTGTAAGGCGTTATTCATAAGGCACTTAACAGTACAAAGCTACTTCATTTTAGCCTAGCGTTTATATTATCCCATGGATCAAAAGTAATGTAGTCAGAATTTAAGTTTGGATATGATTAAGTGAAAGTAAGAATTGCCCCCCCTCAATAATAAATAGATCCTTACAAAACATTACATAGTTATTCCTTCGCATCCGTAATGCCCTCTGTACTGATAGCAAACATAGCTTCCGTTTCCGGCAAACACGGACTGTCGTAGATCTTGCAAACTCTGTTATCGCCGCGGCCTTTGCGCAGGTACAATCGTGTCGTCGACGCGTGCGCAAGTATATGCCCGCCTATTGGTTTCTTTGTGTCGGCGTTGAACACTCCAACTGAGTCAACTTGTGCTACAACTTGGTTTGTTATTATTACTGCTACGCCAAACTGAAAAGGTTATTTTATATTTAAGCTTTTTTCTTATGTGGCAAAGGAAAAAACTGTTGTTTAGAATGTATTCAATTTTTTTTGTATATTGTCATCTATTGTGATGTGTCACCTTCTATAAAGTGAAGCCGTTTTTTTCTCACCTCTATCATTAAAAAATAAAAAATCAAACAAATAGCATAACCCGAATACCCTCAAAAAGAATTTAATCACAATAGTGGGCTTTTAACAGTTTACTACTAAATACTGTCTGTAGTTTACGCGAGTAGTACACATTTAAATATAACACTTCAACGGTTTAAAACGTAATGTATACAGGTATCTCCCCGTGACCACGGCACGACCAAAGTACCCGAATAGTCAAAAATAATTTCCAAATAAATATAATGAATATACATCGTGTTTTAAACTGTTAAAATGTTGTATAAATTATTATTAGCCCCTGACCTCATCAGCGAGTCGCAGAAGCATTCTCATGAACCTGCCGAGATGCTGCTGCCGAGGGTTGAGCTCGCCTCGGCCCGAATAGTCCGTTCGGTACAACGCTGTGACACTGTCCACTATCAGAAGGGAGTATCTGAAAATAAATTACAGTAGTTTTTAGTTATACCGATGACTAATGGGTTTGGCGTTCCATTTGCACTAAGCCCAAAAAGTTTTAAAAATCTTTATTTTCTTGAAGCATGTTGGACATTATTTGAAACCTCTGTATGTTAAGGACTCTATCTCGATTAGTTAGTACTTCCAGTCAAAATTTCTTCCTGTGACGCATGGGTCATCTTGGTATGTCACCCATGATCACCCACACCATGAGCTAAAGTTCCCACGTATTAAACATAAAATTAAGGATATGCTGGAAACATATTTGAAAGTGCTAAAACAACATCCAAATTGATTTCCAGGAGGCTTAATGCTCAAAGAACAAAGAAATAAGACACAAATCCAGCTAAATGTTTAATGACAGCTCGGAGGCATATAGATAGATAATAGAGAGAAAAAAAATGGTGTTAGGAATATTGAAATTTCATCGGGTCAACAGATGAAAAACAGTACTTTACTGTTCACATTTTGGTTTCCGAATATGGTTTTGTCTGTTCTTAGTCGAAGTTGACAGTAGATCAACTAAAAACCTCACCTGGACTCAGCCATCATAGCACACGCCTGCACAAGTAATTGTGTTTGATGATCGGTATTGTATGCTCTGGCGTATGCCACATTATCAAGCACAGCGGCCCCCTCCATCCCGTATCTTTGTGCTACAGCCAATAGTCGTTCAGGTCGAAAAGTACCCTCAGTGTCAATGTACATGCATTTTCCTTCACCACCAGATTGCTCTATTGGCAGCTGAAAAATTTAAAGAAGCTTCTTTATTTATCTAACATCATCTTTCTTTAAATTATTTTTGTTTAGCTTTTTTCATGTGACACATATATGTGTCTTTCAGTGTTTGATCTTATAAAAAAACATTTATTCCCAATACAATAATTTACGAAAAGGTTCACTTGTGATTATAAATTGGACTGGGAAAAGGATAAGTTACTCAGCATGCACTAAAGCATATTGAGATATTCAACAGCACTGATTTTCAGTGACCTCCGCGGCTTAGAACGTTCCACAGTAACATTAAAAAATAGTCTCTCTATTTATTAATGTTAAAGAACTAATTATTACAAGATCATTGCCTTGCACACCTATAGACACATTTTACTTGAATACTTAGGGTGCTAATCTTATTATTAAGCAGAAGAAGGCGAGCAAGAGAGAGCTCTTTGCAATCACAACCATAGTTTTATTTTCAAGGAAGGTGAGTAGGATTCTATAACCTGCTCATCATATTCAAATATACCACGAGGTATACTTTCAAGTAAAAAAAAATACTTTACTTTAAATGTAGTACCTGGCAGGTAACAGCAAGTGTGTGGCAGAGTTGTGTCTTTCCAGTTCTGAATTCTCCAAATATCTCGGTAATAGAGCCAGTTTCGATTCCACCTCCCAGCAGTCTATCTAATTCTTTGGACCCAGTTGTCAGCTGTATAATTTCAGCTCTGAAATACAAATATTGACAATATTATTTTTTGAATACAGAGTGAATATTTCTAATTTAATTGAGTAATATGATTTACAAATAAATATTATTTAGCTTAGTATATTTAATAAATTATGTATTAAGTTAATAATAATAAATTAAAACATTACTATCTCAACTTTACATACATTTGATTTAAACGCTGAAAATTTATGAGAATAATTACTTTTATTCTAAATCCAAAAAAAATTAAAATGTTGAAATTTTGTAGTTTTTGAGATATTCCGTTGAAATTTTAAGATTATTCTTATATTGGCAGGATCTATCAACCATAGAATTTTTAGCATTTAAATCAAATGTGTGAGAGTTAAGTTGAGCGACATTACTTAGTATCACTTACCAAGGTATAAGGTGAGGTGGACGAACTGCATTCCAGTTTGCATAAACATCAGGCCAATAAATAATGAATTTAAATAAATTTAGACATACAGTTAATATTCACCTCTTTTGATGAAATTCTGTAGCTGTTGTAAATCCCATAGGAACGAGTTTGGATGCCTCCAATAATATCTTATCTGCTTTCGCTTCTGATATTCCCTTTATTGTAATAAGCCATTTCTTGGGAGCATAAGCAACTGATTCCACTGTATGATAGCCAGCTTCTTCTAATTTTTTTATGTCACCAGCAGTAATACCATTTCCCTAGGAAATGTGATACAAAAAATGATTTTATGGAAACTAATGTGATTGTTTTCTCTTTGTGAACATTTCTAAATTGTTAAAGGCTATTTGGTTTACCAAAAATAAATGGTACAAAATTCTAACAATTAAATAGTCAACTTCGTAAACTTGTTTTATCATGTTATACTCAATGCTTACCTCCAATTTATTTATAAGTTGTGGTCCACAATCTTCCAAATCTTCGTCGACAGTGGCAGTGGAAGCTGAAGCTGTCGCCGTCATATTTATCTTTAAAATCACCAATTCATAAAGAGCGCTTATAATATACTTATTAAACAAAAGTCGTAAACTTAAAAAGACTAAGCTCAAATCTTTTCTTTGCGAAGCGCGGTTTTTTATAACAGCGACATTGACAGATATTCATTGACATAAGTAATTCTAAATGACATTTGACTTACACAATGCTGATTGACATTAATAAGTTGTTAAACACAAAGACAAAGGATGCGGGTTAACACAAAAATGTCACTTGGAAGTTTTTTTTTTACCGACTTGATCGAAGAGCAAGGTTGAAAAATATCTCATAATCCCAAAATTGAGCATGAATTGAACAACATGAACAACTTTAATCTAAGTCTGCAGTAAATAAAATAATGGAATTATTACTAACACATTTTTTTCTTATTCTCCTAAATCATTATACTTTAGAGATTCTTCCAAACCAAGTTAAGTTAATACTTATAAGTTAAGATGAAGAAGCGTAGTAAAATATAAACTAAATGTAACGTTTTTTTAGTTTTAGCAATAAATCAACAATGGGCTAAGGTACTTGTAACTATACGTATATAACCTTCATATAATAAATAAACATATGTTTTATATTCGCATGATAAGCGTGAGTGTAAAATATTCCAAAACACGGGTTTTTGCGCACACTCAAGCAAATGCAAAATCAAGAGATTCACTTTACCAATTTCATGACCTATTGCTTCTTTGAGATCTCTTCAGAAATCAAGTCACTGCTCTAACCCCTTACAATTAGGAATCGATTCATATGCCTCTTGCTCTTTTTCATCTTGATATTCAAGAGACTAATTGATTAGGCATCTCGTAAGAGACAGTGTGTCGTGGATATTAATATTTTTTATCGAACGTCGTTCGTTATTATCTGATACGACATTTGATATTTCGGTAGAAGTTTCTTTTAACAGGAAATTTCTCTCCTCCATTAAAGGAAATAACTTTTGAATTTTTGTTACAACAGTTGTCGTCACAGTAGCGCGATAACCTCAGTGGTAGAGGATCTACAAATCCACCAGGTTTAAACCCAATTTAAATTTAAACTCCTACATTTAGAGTTAATTATATAATATACATAACTAAGTATTTGTATTATATACTGTCTATAGTTTACGCGAGTAGTACACATTTAAATAAAACACTTTAACGGTTTAAAACGCGATAAATTAGTTAAACTTATTTAGTAATCACTTTAACTACGGCCCGTTGAAACCGTTAACCGTACATTGTTCGAGATACGTATAAAAACATAGAGAAAATTCGATGATCAAGTACAGGATACAGTAGCACAATTGGTAGATCAAGTAGTATCATATTTTTTACTTACAAAAAATTTTATACCCGCGGGAGTAAGTTTTATATTTTCAATATTCTATAGTCGGTCGGATCGGGGAGGGATCGACAATCAAATAAATATGAACTTTATATTTTTTGATCCGATATCGTGTCGTGTAGTGTAAAAGTGCGTTTTTGCTGTCAAATTTGTAATTAGAATCAATTATAATGAATATGCAATGTACTTATTGGAATATGTAAATTATCAAATCAAGCACCTTGAAGGTGTGAACTGTGAAGGATTATAATCGAGAGCGATCGATTGAGTACTTACTAACAGCTCTGTCACATGAGGAAATATGATAGAAATGCTTTTTTATATTTTTGCATTGCTTCGAAAATTGTATCGGTTTTCAATGTGTTGATTGCCTTGCAAAATTCACGCCTTTTCCCAAAATGGAGATGAAATAGTAACAATATAACTATTTCATTGAATAATACCTATATTTTAGGCACACACATACGGTAGCTGAATTGGTTAGAACAACAGCACGGCAAGCTGTGGATGTCGGTTAGAGAGCAGCTCTTGGCGATTTTTTTTTGAATCCAAATCGATTTTCATAGGTAGTAAATCTATTTTGCTTAGCAGATTCTCAATGGTCGTACACACGTCTCATTAACAACAACAATATCATGTACTTATGCGAAAAGACTTTTCTACAACCATGTATAATTCAACTACAGGTCTTGTAACTGTAAACATTCTGCTCTTGTAGTCTTATATTGTATTTTTGCAAATTCGTTAATTCAATTTCAACGAAGTCAACAGACTGCAACTTGACGAGGGTGATAAATAAAAAGCGGAATTCAAATAAAAGCTTAGCTTTATTACTCGTTTTAATCACGAAGAAACATCCCTCAGTGTTATCAACAAGTCTCCACGCTGACATTTTCATACTAATACAACTTATTTCATTGTCAATACAATCCAATAATTTTGATTAAATTTTAACACAATTTCGTACCGCCAATGTGATTACCAATTACAAATGCAATAGAATTTTGAAACGTCTTTGTCGATCACAATACTTCTCGTTATCACTAAATACACCGAACGGTTAGTTCCTAGACGATCACGGACAAGACACACGCTCGAACGATAAAAGCATTATGACAATGTGTTATTATATTACTATAATAATGTTGTAGTATTAAGAACCGTTATTAATTAATTAATGCGTTAGGTTAGGTTAGGTTAGTTTTTGTGATAAGTATATAATGATTTGTCTGAGGCTCACAGATTACAATAGTGACCCGCTAGTAGCCATTCTTAGACAAATACCAAGGAATCGTTACAATTTTATGTCCACTTTTCACCTTAAAATGCCTTTAAATTTAACTTTTTACATCCAGAACCATATAAACATCTTTTAGTCATTTATATATTTTTTTATCTATATAAAATGGCGGACCGCGCCAACGCGACGCGCCCGCGCCGGTCAACTTTTTATTTACAAATGGTTAATGCTCCTAAACTTTTAATATCCGATACTATGCTTAAAATTAAATACAAAAAACGCATGACATTTCTAAATTTATCTAAATGTCCCATCGCTATAATTTATGAAATTTTGACCATTTTTACACCAACTTTAGAAATATCAATACAAAAATACTCTTTTGAATAAAATTTTATACACGACGATATCATCGGCGCGGGGGGGTAGCGGCGGCGGGGGCCCACAAAGAAACAGCTTTGAGCCTCGTAATCTTAACATCGTGAAATTTGTACTAAATATATCGAGACGAGCGGACGCGGGCCCTATTACTTAGCCGAAATGCGAGGATTCGAAATAAATGCCTAAACACTAGTCAAATTTATCATTCGTACGCGACGCGGACTCGGCGCTACGCCCGAAGAACCAGAACTGCGCGCGCGCAGAGTCACGCGTCGCGCGTTTAATTTCGTTTTCAATTTTGACACTAATTTTTATCACCGGTTACCGCGTCCGCTCGCTATAATTTACAAAATATATAATACGAAAAGGGAGACGCAGCGCCGTCGACCGGCGGCTGCCATTACCGAAATACGTCAACAACACAACATAAACGTCGCACATACGAGAAGAAATGAACGTGTATCGCTGTTACGAATGAAGACCACAAGGATATCGAGATTATCATTTATTTTATCACTAGCAATAGGAATACAAAATAGCGAACGCCCGAGTTCTTGCCAACACCGACCTTAGCGTTCGATCTTATCTACTTGTAATTAAAAGCATCGGCAGTATTTGTTCCGTGACTTCCTAATAGTACATCCGTGCTCAATTTCTTTGATAATTCAGACATATTAATCGGACATTAGAAACGAACGATACTTATATAATTACTAGCTAATTTTTCAGCATTTCCTTATTGATTGTCTCATATTATAGAAAAGTTTACGACTAGTCGGTACATCTAAATGTCTCTATCCAAAACTCAAACGCTACATAATAGAGTCTATTACAATTTCGAAAATTTAGGAACCATAATACCCAAACGTGAAACGGAATACGCATATACTGTATTTTCGTTCTTTATAATTAATTTTGAAAATAAATCTTTATATAATTTCACCTCGATAGATCCAAACATTTAGTAGACGGATTTAAAAATATTAAAAATGTCAAGCGAAAACATCAGATAGATACAATATATAATGAAACTTAAGTTTACTAGATCTAGATACAAAATTTGGAATCAATGAGAGTTGCCAAAAGACAATTTTCATAAATCTACAATACATATTATAGTTACAAACATGAGTTTTACAATCGACACCGAATTTTGTACTTTTCTGCGGGTTAGCCCCATGATCACTGTGGACTTAATTACTTCGATGTTTCAATCTTGAGTCTTTACAATAATTTAGAAAAATCGTCAACCAATAACTTACAGATAACGCGATTCGGCGATCGGCTTTTGTATATCCATTGTGGTCTTTTAGCGGTTTCACAGTAAATCACTCAAGTATAAAATTCGGAAATAATGCTCAAACAACTAAACAATAATCGATAAGAATCGTCATAATTGTTTTCACCGGAAGGCGTAACGAAAAAACGGCTCCAAGTGTCTGCGAATAACGGCACGTCGGTAATACTGTTGATGGGAAATCAATACTTTGCTATTGTAATATGTGTGTGTAGCCTGCCTTTACAATTCTATTTTATATATAATTATGAAGAAACTATGGAGAGATCGGGTAACGGATTTATTACTTGCTATACATGGAAGTAAATAGGTAGATAGTTGAACCGGCTTACTCTGGAGCCGAGCGGTCGAACTCGAACTTGCGTCGACGCCGTCTCGAACGCCGCTCGTGCTCCGGCGCAAGCTCACGGACAAAAGAACGAATAACGTCAACAGAAAACAATTAAAACGTAACATGAAACGTTGCTCGTTCACGAATAAGCCCTGCGGCGACTGCGTATCAACTTGACTACGAACCGATGTGTGTCGTAGAAAATGAAACTGGGCTATTGCTCGTTGTGGGTATGGAGACACGAGTGTCGGGACTAATTTCGAACTAAAAACCAGTGGAGGGTCGAACGGGGGATATACTGTGTCGATGTCTGTGGTCGCATTCACCTAACCTGAACACTTAACACCAGTCGACGCCTGGTCCATCCTAAACTGAGGTCTTACAATTACCGTAATAGTGAAATGATTACAAACGAAACGATAACGAAGTGGTAAATGAAGAATGCTTATAGTCGCTTAGCTACGGCCATCCGCCCGCCCTGCGCGGCTCCGAACGACGAAATCAGGATGTGTAACTCGTACTCAGCAAACGAACGCGCGCTACCGTACTATTGCACCTTAATTAAATATCGTTAACGCTAAGATAGTTTCGTATCTCTTCTGTATTAAAATTACCGTAGTATGTACACGTGTAGCTATATATCTTTGTACAACTGTCTCACGTTTATATCTATTTTAAGAAGCTAAATTATCTTTAATCTGTCTGTCCTGTGGAACTGAGGATGTGAACTGAAGGTGCGGCCGCGTGGCGGGGTGGGCGGGGGGCATCTACACGTTATAACAAATACACCGAGTCGTACGATGCGCTCGCGCTCGTCGCCGAGTCCGCGGTTTCAAGTGGCTGCTGTTTGGCGGACTGCGACGAGCGCGGAGCTCTCGCGCTACATATATCTACGAATCAAACTAATTATTCTTCTATAGTATAATAGTAAATGTGTATGTATACTGCTTGTTCGATACGGCGAACGGTTTGCGTGGCGTCGGGCGCGGCGTAGGCGCACGGCGTCTTCGGTTGGGCGGGAGAGTCTATTGAGGGCCCTTGATTATAATTTATTATCTTTTTTTTTGTAAAAAAATCAACATTTTCGAAGGCACTTCAGATCGGACGAGCTGGCCCCGGTGCGTTTTGTGGTAATCGAATTAGTAATTGGTGTTGAATTTTGTAGGAACTGTTATATGGTTTTGCCTTCTATTTTTCCTGGGTGTATGTGTCTGGGGAGAGATAGACGCCGTGCGACCTCCGCCGGTGGAGGGCGCGAGTCGACTGAGAGCTTTTCAGATTTTAATTCTAAATACGACTACTGTAAACGGAATACGGATTAGATATTTGGCGTCCAGAAGAACGAGGAAACTGAATATCGTAGAATGCTTAAACTTAATCGTAACTTACGCTAAACTCGCGCTCTCCACTCGCGCGCACGTTGTCTTGATATATGGCCACGCATTTCGGAATATATTTTATCTAACAAATAAACTTAACCCTACGTCCGGAACGTGGGCCGGACGAACTGAAACCATTTTGCCCGAACGATGCCGAAAAGTTAATAGAAACAAGGATGTGTACTTTAAAATCAACTGAAGATGTTTACCGTTTTCGAATTTGGTGTCTGTATATCGTTTACTCTATTGAAAATCTCTGCACGAACATATAACCGGCTATCAGTATAAAAATAATGTTTAAATTCTTTGTTTGTGGATCGAAAAATAACCCTGCTCTATTGTACTAGTGTCTATGGTTAACGTTAATTATTCCTAAAATAATTATGACGAGGTAAGGTTGACAATTTCGGGACACGCGAAGTGTGCCAACGAACCGAATCAGCTCCGAACGAAACAAAAGCGGAAAGGCCGAGGATAGAGGACGGGAGAAACAAATGAAAACAACGAAAAATTCAAACTTAAGCAAGTTAATATATTAAATCGTTTCTTCCTTAAATAAATCAATAAATGATTTAAGATATACATAACTATAAAAACCATTTACGATAATACTTAATAATATAATAATAATTATATATAGCGAAATATATTATGTGCACAAATAAAATTCTAGGTGACTTAAACTTTCTCCTTAATCGTATAACCTAATGAATTTCCTAAGAGCGCGTGCGCAGCGCGAAACGTACGAATTCCATTTCATTATAATTTAATTTAACTTTAATAATTTTGAATCTGAAGGCCTAAATGCGAGTGTCGTATAATTTTGGTGTGCGAAACGTCGTTTTCCGAATTTTGTTGCCGAATGGTGCGCGTTGCGGCGAAGCGCTCACTCCAGCTGTTCCAGGAAATTTGGTGACTTGAAGTACTCCGGTACAGGGTCATCTAGCCGTGAGATGACCTTGTAGATGGACTTCTTCCAGCTCTGCTCGGCGTCTTTTCCGCCCTGGATGGCGCGGAAAAATTCGCGGAGCGTCTGCTCTACCACATATCTGAAGTTTGGTGGAACCTGGAAGGATTAAACGGTAATTAGATCTCTACTCCTATTTTTAGGTCAAGATATTGAATGAAGAAGATACGGAATGAGTTTTGTAAAAGCACATTAAATTAGAGATTGAAAAAGACAATTACCTCAATGTGGTTATTTCTATTGTAATGCAAGTTGAGGACCCTATAGAGTTCGGAATCCCCAGCCACGTGGAGGTCATCAGCCGTCTTCAGACCTTCGCTGATGGCTTGCCGCGCGTACTTCTCCATCTGGATGTAGTAGAACTCTCTGTAACAATGAAAGAAACTTTTAATATCGAGGTTTTAGGTGTTCCAGCATATACTAGACAGTTTTATCATTTAGTCGGAATTAAATTTACGTTACTTGTTAAATATTTAGAACAGACAGCACTCTGTCTGTCAGATAGAGCCTATGCTGTGTAAAAATTGCGTATAGTAAAGAAATAATTGCGTAAGATATGATATAAGAAGAAATTTTACATTTTATTGTTTTGAAATGTTTTCTTGCAAAATGTAAAAAAAGAAATAAGTTAAAGAATAAAAGATAGATAATGTAGATCATTAGTTATTTTCTTTTTAAATTTAACTTTTATTATGATGGTAAAGTCTTTGTTTCTCGTGTTTACCGAGAGTATATCAAATCCTATTTATTATGACCGCCCTTGTAGCTTCAATGTGTTGCTAGCATTGCGTTAAGCGCGGTGATGGCCTAAAGAAAGTAGCCCGCAGCAAATGTATAAAAAAGACTCCAAGAGAGGACATGCTTTGGGAGAGGCTTAAGTCCAGCAGTGGACCCAAACGGGTTCAAACTTATGAAAAAAAAATGATCAAATTGTATTTGTTTTCATACGAATCCCTACAGTTAAAAAAGATAAAACTGAAGTGGCAGTGGTGATTAATTTGCCAGCGGATCTGATCGAGTAGGTAGGCTCCGAGTGCGATGCGCGAGTAAATTCACCTGCAGTGTGACACTTCACGGCACAATGAGAATATAAAAAAACGCACTCGAAAGCCGTCGGAGGGCGGAGAGGATTTGATTAGTCATTTTCGCTCGGTCCGCTCTCCGCGTCGCATCGCTATCTTCTATCCGCTTCGCTTATAAGAGCATCGAGGGTCTCGCGAGGCTAATTACTTACGAGTTCGCATTCAAACGGGCTAATTCAGTTTCTGCCGTCTCGTCGCGGGATGCTCATAGATGTATAGATCCAAGATTTGATTTGTCGCCACTTGGTATGAAGTGCCAATTGGCTGTATTGACACCAGGTTTGGAGGGCCACAATTATAAATGACCGTTAGACGGTGGCTTGGTGGGGAAGTGTTCTGGTTTTGCGAGAGATTTTGGAGTTCACTTGATGGGAGGTGAATAACACAGCCTATGGGAAGATAGAGAAACTGTTTAAGCCGTGGCCAGATATCTGGACCTCGTTTTGTAAAGGTTTGAAGAGATAGAGTAGATAGAGGGAGAGGTTCTTCATGCGTAGGTCTGAACACTCAACGAGCACGATAAAAAATGGCGAGGACTTAAAAAATATGTCGCGAACTCGCGAGATGCGCGCAAAAATCGAAATCACTCAATAAATAGTCAACAGCTATCAATCGAACCGGATCATCCCTAAGCCACTTGCGTGCGAGCGAGAGGCTCTAGTGCTCTCGCTCGCACGTCGGGTTTTCTATTATTTTTTAATTGGCACTCCGCGAGATATTGCCAGCCTTACTAATTGAGTAAGTAAATGAAGTGTCTTAATAATTAGATGTCTTTTTAACTGGCGGGAGGTGACATGATGTTTAGGTATTCATGCATTATGAATAGATGTTTTAATTAGAGGGACAAACGCCACGGTTACGAAGCACACATACGCCGGGGCTTAAGTGTTTTCACGTGTTTAAATAAACGGCATCAATGCTGTTTGCTTTTTAATTAATGTTAGTTGTGGCCGATAAGGCCGTAAGTGGTGTTTGGGATGATGGTGATGAGATTCTTTTAAGTGGTCTTGATCGTATGTTAATTACTTTGAGAGATATCTATAAAAAGATTAAAAACAATAATTCCTCATATTGAGACAAGATCAGAAAAAAACGTAAATACAATATTATTAGTAACAAATTATAGTACTTTTAACGTACTTTCGAAGAATTAGTTAATTTTTTTGTAAGAAATACAAATTTTTGTCGTGTTGTCTTCCGCTACGAACCGTAGCAAGTGCTACAAAATACGTAGCAGTGTGGCGTGTTAAAAAGTGGGTAGTTTTTGGTTGCTTGAACAGTTGTGTTTATATAATTTTCGTATTCGAAATTCAAAAATTATTCTGTCAAAGTTGCGTTCTTAATTGAAATTCGAATTGAGCGCGAAAAAACCGTTACATTTAAGTATCAGCTGTTTCATTGTTGAAAAATTTCTTTACGAAATTTTGCCCTTGCTTGCCATACAATTGTATGCTTTCTTACACCTATTTAGAAGTTAAATCTCTTTATATGCTAAATACAATGCTACCGTCTACAGGTGTATGACGGATGAACTATTGTATACTTTAAGAGGGAGACTTTAGGGTTGATATTAAGATAACGCCGTGTCTTTCTCAAGATTTCTTTCGTTTACCTGAGCGCAGTTCTTAATGTCATTGTTTGAGGGAGCAGTTGGTATTTTTTGCAGTTTCTTGGCGAAGTTTTTTTTTTTAACTTCGTCGAGGATCACCGCCGGAACCAAATAGGAACTGACGAAGAAATTCATTGAAAGACGTCTATTGTTTATAAAAGTAAAAATTGAAATTTTATGCGAAGATGCCCTGCTGCATTATTCGGCTCTTCCGAAAATTATATTAATTAAGATCGCTTACTTGGACTATTAAGGGTGTTTTTTTTTTAAATATAAACGTTTGTATAATGCAAATTATATAGGCAGCTATACGATGTAAAGCAGCTGTCTGCTTCGTTCGTTTAAAAAATTTTAGAACATTATTTAAAAATTACAAAAAAAGTAAAATTTGCTGAAAATCAATGAACTTAACGTACTTACTTTCTTAAGATGTTTAATATGATATTTAAGTTTACGTTTTGTTTTTTGTTTCGAGTTAGGACCTTTCAATGGCCATATTATCTACGATAAAACAATTTAAGTTTTATAACGAGAACTATACCTTCTTTTAATTATATATCGGATGCCCTTACTCAGCCGTAGTAACCAAAAACCATGTTAATTAACAGATAAATATTGCGTTTTTAACAGTCAAAAGTGTTTTATTTAATGTGTCTCTCGAAACTAGATACAATTAAGTATATAAGAATTTATCTATACATAGTGACTCGTACTGTAAACTTTTAGACGCTTTGTTTGAAAGAATTCTCTTACAAGCAACTAAGTATTTGCAAGTCGTAAACCACAATGGGCGTACAATAAAAAAAGTGTTTATTGTCGAGGGAATCTCGGCACTTTCTTAAAGTCCCCCTCAAGGAGTGCTTCGATTCCCGTGTGAACTCTAGAGCTAATACAATGTAGAGTTAAAGACATTTAGACAACACTTTTATTTTTAATCTATGAAAAAATCGAATTGTACAAATATGTTTATCAAAGATAATAATATAACTTACAAAATGTATTTCAAAAAAAGAATATGTCATACTCATTCACATTATAATTTTAAAATTGAAGTATGTCTAAGACACTGTACATATTTATTTTGTAAGCTAGCTAAGTAAGCGTCTTAGCAGATTTGAAAATGCACATTCTTTTGTTTTTTTTTTTTTTTAATTATAGTCTGCAAACTTTGAGTCGACGGCGCGCGTCTTAACATTTATAGCTCTACATCCAGTGTCGTTAAGAAATCTTTCTGAGGGGTCAGCTCATTGTTTAATATTTTCTTCCCTTCATTGTTGACTCGTTTGGCGAGAAGATTTAAATTATTACGCTTTTAAGCATTATTTGTACTATAGATACTTTAGTATAGCTAATCCTTAGTGGATCGTTTAAGATCTATTTACGAAATAAGCTATAATTAGGCTACTATTTCTTATTTCCTTAGTATTATTATTTACATTACTATCAACATCCTCAGATGCGCAAAAAGAAATCAATTTCACCATACGATAGCTTCACATGTATTATGTTCGTGACAGGTCGACAGATGCGCAGTCGCAGCCCCTATTCACTGACAATACAAATATTAATCCTAGTTATTCCGACCTCGAGTTACTCTCATAGATAAAATCGGTTTTTTCGATTTTTGTATTAGGGAAGGTTTGCGAAAAACTGAGGTAATTAAGAAGTACCATATACATGGGCGATAAATCTCGTTAAGGAATAGTTAAGCGCGTATATTCCTAAGAAATCTGTTTTACAGTTTTAGTTTAAAAAAATATGATATATATTATAGATATTTGCAATGAATACCATAAATCAGCTAAATACAGCTGTTTGTTTATACTATATTTTGGTAGAGCTATAGTTTTCGCAAGTGTACACCTGTCATAATTATTAGATGTTTACGAAACGTTAAAAAAACCCATAGAATATAACGCTTTGCTAAAAATGACGCAAGATAAACAAGTTAATTAAGCAATTACTTGAATATGGGTTATAGTGTCACAATGGCATACCGATGTCTCCAACTTAACATATAGCTTGCGATTTTCGATGCGGGCTCACCGCTACGCGATAAGAACCACCTTACATCACACTTTTTAACATCTTCAAACATCCACTGCGACTAACACCGTACGAACGTATGAAGCAGCGGCCTCGAATCCTCGAAAAATGGTACCACAAAATACGGCTCGAGTGCGGTTCTTAATTATTCCATGGAAATAAATGAACCACCTCTTTGTGGTCTTTCATTTTCACGGCCTAATTATAATAGAGAACTGTAGTTATCAGACAATTACAGCTAAACATTGGCGGAGCGCACAAAAAGCTCATTTAAAGCTGAAATTGCACCACCTGAATCGCTTCATAGAAATATTTTGATATAAAACCAACAAATCGGTATTGAAAAGGAGCTAACGCACACAATCGAGCGTTATATAAAAACAAAAAAGCGAGCTTATAAACGCGTAACTTTGGTTCGTAAAAAATAGTTTTCAGACATTTCCTACTGACTTCAAATATACTCATTTCGATCGTTGCCAAATACAATGGTTATTAAAACCTGATGCAGGCACGACTCACTGAAATGATAGGGGAGGTATTACAGGCTGTGGCGGTGTGTGTCGGGTGCGCCAGTGTGTGTGAGTGGACCGCGTCCAGCTTTCGTAGAGTACGCCGGAATGAGCCGAGTT